CCCTGTTGTCAGGGGCCTAGCCAAAGAGTAACTGGGGCCTGGCGAGTGGGTAAGTGGGCGGGCCAGAACCTAGTAGGTAATCATCATCCCATCCTGTTTTTTTAGGTTTTGGGGTCTAGGATTTGGGTTTGAAATGTAGGATTGGCAATACTAACAATAAAGGATTGGCAATACTAACAATAAAGTTTGAAAGTTGATGGTTAATAATTAGTATTTAGGATTTGGGTCTTAGGCTTTGAGAATTTTTGGCTCAATGAATCCCCACAAAAAAGAACATCACTTTTGAAATGACTGCACATCACTTTTATAAGATATGGCCTTAATAACGTTCGTGTTCCAAGAGCATACGGTCATTGCTGAGGCGGTTAAATACATATCCGGCCCAATCCATCTCTTTTATAGTTTGGGCTTGTGGGTGCGTCCCCAATGCATTTTCATCATAGTATTGGCTGAGTATTGTATTGTCCCTTCATTACCCGCAAAATCACTTTCATCATATTTTGGGCTTAGTAGTATTTGGGTGATTCCCCTTGCTAATCCTTGAATGCATTTCTTTGATAGTGTGGGCTTAGTATTGGGCTTCGTATTCTTCAAGTGGGTCCCTTTACAACACCCAATGCATTTCTTTGATAGTATGGACTTAGATTATGTGGGTGAATCCGACCCCAACGCATTCTCCTCATAGTATGGGCGTAGTATTTTCAGAATCAGGCTCTTTACTACTAAAATAACACTTGAAAAAATTCACGTAGGCGACGGGCCTCTGCAAAACGCACTTCGACCTGTAATTTCCAACAAAAAAGTTCCGGCAGTGAATGGGCGTGACACCTTGTACTACTGCTACTGCTACCGCTACCACTACTACTGCTACTACTACTGCTACTACTACTGCTGCTACTACTACTACTACTACTGCTACTACTGCTACTACTACCATTACTACTACTATTATTATTATGATTATTATTATTATGACTGCTACTACTACTAGAGAATGTCGTGCCAGCGACGGTGAGTTTTTCCTCATTTCAAGGTGATTTTACAATGGTTTCGGCTTCGTTTTGACTTTTCTGAGGGGGGTTGGGCTTTTCTGAAAAACTGCACACGTGAGGGTGGGGAGGGGAAATTACGTTGGTGAGGACAGTAAGCACAACAAGCTCCGAAAACAATTTCACAAACTTAAAAAACCAGTGAGAAGCTTGTCCAAGTATTAGTAAGGGGGATGACTAGGTTCTTGAGGTTGTGAAGACACTAAGCACAGCAAACTCCGAAAACGAACCTCTGAGACATTCAAACTTGCAAGAACCCGAAGCCCTAAGGTCTAAACCTAAACCCTCAGCCCTAAACCCTAATTCCTAATCCCTAAACCTTAATACCTAAACCCTAAACCTAATCCTTGAAGCCTAAGCCTAAACCCTAAACCTTTGGATTAGGGGTGTCTAGAGCAAGAAATTTTCTTTGTTATGTAAGAATCGATGTTAGCACGAGAGGTTACTACGCTCGTGACGTTCGTAGTGACTGTAAGCACAACAAACTCCGAAAACCAACCTCTTCAAAGCAAGTAGTTCCCAACGCCCCCAACTCATGCCCTGTCCCTTCTAAAAGTACTGGTGAGCGCAGAATCCTTTCCCTTTCCCCTTCACTGCGCGTGCGCTGGTGCACCCTTGCCAAGCAAAAGGATATATGATTGTTGTGACAGGTTATGATCTTGCATAATGTCCCTCATGATGAGTTTTGCTGCCGTTGGTGCCAAATAAGGAAAAGGTGTTGTAGGCTTTGCGGGTCACGGGATTGAGCAAAATCAAGATTCAAGGCAACATCAGTTGATGAAAATGTCTGATCTCAATAAGCTGTCGGCTTTCCACTGTGGCCTTCCACTTGCCAACCACTGCCTGGGGCTGCCCCACGGCTACCCAATGCTCAAGGAACTCGCTGGCATCCACTACTACTACTACTACTACT